ACCCCCCCCTCCTCCCCCATACACCCCCCTCCATCCATCCCTCCCTCCCCAGACACACCCATCTATCCCTCCCCCATTCCTCCCTCCCTTCCTCCCTCAATCTCCCCATCCCTCCCTTACACACCCCTCCATCCCCCCTTCCATCCATCCATATAGACAACCACCCACCCCTCCATGAACCCTCCAGGCAGCCATCTCTCCACCCTTCCATCCCCACACATGGCTCCATCCATCCAGCCGCCCCCATACACCGCCAGCGAGCCACTGCCACAGACATCCAGCCGCCCCCATACCCCCGTGTGACACGGAGCCAGAAAGGGCTAAGCACCTAGCAGGCTATGTGACCCAAATTCAGCCTTTGGGGACATATTAGAGCGTATGTCAATGGGGATTGGGGCCATTCCACGTCAGATACACTACAGTTTCGTTAGCGCACTAGAAGACAGTGAGTGTATTTGTCTATGTTTTCCTGGAGCAGCGGTTCTCAACCGCTCGCAGCCCAGTCAGCATACAGCTGCGGCCCATGTGACATCCTCAGGGCCATACAGGTAGGACTGGATGCGGCCCACATCACCATAGGCGCCGACTCCTTGGGTGCTCTGGGGCTGGAACCCACCAGCCACCCCCCTATCTGCTCCCCACCACCAGCACCCCAGCGCCTCCGGCCTGCTGGCGTGCCCTGCGGAGCAGCGCCTCCCCATCCCTCCCCGCGCCTCCTGCGATCAGCTGTTTCACGGCGTGCAGGAGGCTCTGGGGGGAGGGGAGGAGGAGCGAGGAGGCAGCGCGCTCGGGGGAGGGGGTAGAACTGGGCGGGAAGAGGTGGGGTGAAGAGGGGGCAGGAAGAGGCAGGGGTGGGGCCTTGCGGGAAGGGATGGAGTGGGGGCGGGACCTGTAGCAGAGCTGGGGGTCAAAGACCCCTTGGCACTTTGGAAAGTCGGTGCCTGTGCACATAACACATTGTGGCCCATCGTGGTCAATAGGTCGAGAACCACGGACCTATATCTTGTTAGGGGTTAACCGTGTAACCGGACGGTTCCTGTCCGTCTCTATGCTCTGCTGATTCAAAGAGCAAAAGGGAATATTAACATTTAGATGGAACTTGGCTGTAACAATGTCCTTGTCTATATTTCTCTTCGCAATTCGTAGCAGACAGTCTAGGAACTGCTTAAGGGATAATTACCTTATACTGCTGAATGCACCTAGTGACCTATGTCTACATAGAAAACAGGTGATTGTCCTTCAAAGCCCCAGTGCTTCACCCAAGGACTGCAGGCTGCTAAGAGGCTGCCAGAGAGCTAGGAAGGGACTTGTGGGCCCTGATCCTGTCGTCTCAGATCTGCTTGAGCTTCACCAGGGGAAGTTTGAGGTCTCCAGCTCCAGTCTGGGGCACCCGGGCCTTGGACTGAACCTACGGACTGATTCTGAAAGAACGTTTTACGACGCTAAAGCTCACATCTCTGCGATGAAAGTGACCTACAAACTGTATTCGTGTCTGTACGGGTAACGATCTTTTAACCTGCACTCTCTGTCTCTCTCTTTTCTTGTTGAATAAGTTTGCGTTCAGTTAATAGGAATTGGCTGTGAGCGTGTATCTGGGTAAGATCTGAGATCTGCAGTGACCTGGTGGTGACGAGTCCGATCCTTTGGGATCAGTGGAACTTTTTATATAAGGAACAAGATTTTCAGTCATCCTCATCCTACGTGAGTGGGAGCCCAGGGCTGGGTGGCTTTAAGGGAGCTGTGTTTTGGCGTCTGGGTAACCAGGAAGGTGTTGGAGAAGCTCTGGGTGAATAGCCACCAGCTTTGGGGGATCATCTACCCCATTCTTTGCAGGTTGCTCTGATTGAGCAAACTCAGTGTGGCCTCCCCTAGGAACCCAGTCACAACCCCTCCATCCATCCATCCATCCATCCATCCCCCCACACCCTCCCTCCCTCCATCCATCCATCCCCCCACACCCTCCCTCAATCCCCCCTATGCCCCATCCATCCCCACACCTCCC